TTGGTGTTACAAAGAGTTTTGTTGGTCTCTTGCTCAACCATGTCCCACACATAATAATCAAGGGGTTGCAGTCTGGGGAGTTAGATGGACAGATGTACGGGGTGATGTGGTCGCAGAAATTGTCTGGCAGCTATGATTAGATTCTCTTGCTTGCGTGGCATGGTGCGGAGTCCTGTTACCAGACATAGTGTCTTCCAGCAGCCACCATCTTGATGCAGGGCAGTCCTACTTCATCAGTGCACTGGATGTAGATCTCCGTGTTGGGTTTGAGGCCCCGTGGGAAGATAAATGGAGGCATAACGTCGCCATCATTAGTGATCATTCCAAACACCATGATGTTAACTGGATATATCATTCAACTCTTTCCAAATCCTCTGCACTGTCCTCAGATTGACACCCAAACACTCGGAAATGTTCGTATTGTAACTTCCGGCTCGAATTCGAAGCAGTAAAGGATACCGTTTCCAAATTTCTGGCAGAGTGAAGTGTGTTATAGCGCTCTTATTCTCACAATTGACACGATTATACTGTGCAATCGACTAAATCAAAAACAAACAACACGCATACGCGAAATTAAAAATATAAAATGACGACAATTTACCCATCGCACCCTCTGTGTGTGTGTGTGTGTGTGTGTGTGTGTGTCTGTCTGTGTATATATATATATATATATATATATATACACACACACACAAACACACATACAGGGTATGTGTACATATATATGACGGCAATTTTACATGGCACCCTGTATATATATATATATATATATATATATATATGCAGGGTGGGATGGGTAAATTGCCGTCATATATATATATATATATATATATATATATTTCGGGGATAGAAATAAGCATAAGACAGCTTTGAAAATTTGTATTTAACAGCAAAATTGTACAAAATTCAATATTTACATTTATTCCCTTTCAATTGTTATACACACCTATTTTGCGTTGAATTAATAAGTTTTCTGAGTTTCAGATGAAATTTCATTCCAATACTGTTTAATGCAAGATTATAAAGTTTCTCTATCTTCAAATTGACCTCTATTTTTGTCTACTCTTCTTGACAAAATTCCCCACAAATTTTCTATTGGATTTAAATCAGGAGACTTAAAGGGCTAGTCCAAAACTTCAATATTTTTTGTTTTAAGCCAGTCTTTCCTGAGCTTAGAAGTTTGTATGGCTGCATTGTCCTATTGAAAAATGGCATTATTGATGTCTAGACGATTCATAAATAGGACAAGACTTTTTTTCCAACCTATTGATATATCAAGCAGAGTTTTGTTCCCCTTCCATCACTACTAAATCTGTCTTTCCAGATGCAGAAAAAGTTACCCAAACCATAACAGATCCTCCTCCAAATGGTCTTTTTGAAAACAGCTGCTTCTCTTTTCTTAAATCATGCCAATAACACTGGTAGCCGTCGGAACCATCCAAATTAAAAAATTTTCTCAGAAGAAAACGCCACGGTTTCCTATTTCTTCTTTGTCCATGTTAATTTTTCTTTACCCAAACTATGCGCATCTTCTTGTGTTTAGCAGTTAAAGCAGGGGCTGTCTTCTTGTTTCGATACGCGAGATTTGGCGATTCATGGAGAAGTTGATGAACACTTCATGGAGTGATGGGTAAATTCTGAGTTTTTTGCAGACCTCTTGAGCTTGATTGTCCTTTAGAAGCCTCTCGAAAAAGTCGACGTCTGGCTGCATTTTTTAATTTTAGGTGCACGACCTGGATGTTTTCTGGTGCCATACGATCGAGGGTCCTTTAGATAATTTCTCACAACTATTCAGAACCTCAACAGTTCCCTTCCTTCCAGTTTATAGGCAGAAATTTTTCCTTTTTCATTTTCATTAAGGGTGGGGGTCCCTAGGCATTTTGCAGTAACTGTATTCAGTAATGAAATGTTTAAATAGGACTCACGTAAAAGTCTTTTTATAATCTGCGCATGCGCTTATTCTTCTGTTGGATTTTCCGAAGTAAACCAGAAATACAAATTTTCAAAACTGTCTTATAATTATTTCCACCCTCGAAAACGAAGTTTTGTTAATAACCTGTTTTTGGTGAAAAGTTGTTATAAAATCGAATATGTATATTAATGCCCATAGGATCTAGGTACCACACACAAATTTTCAGAGGAATTTTTGCAGTAATAAGAAAATTATTTACAATTTCATGGAGTGTCTTATACTTATTTCCACTAATATATATATACATATATATATATCGCTCGCTCGATTCTTCCGTCGAATCCAACGTATGAGGGTCAAGCAGATCAGTTCCCAGGAAACCGACAGCCCGACAACAGCACATGAGAATTGATTATAGTGGTGAAGGTTTCGTGCAGGACCATCCACACTTTTTGAAGGGACGAATACAGAGACCTGGTGCACTACGTGCCACAAGGTCCCCAAATGACCCTCCGCAGATTTTGGAGGGAGAAGAAGAGGATTCATACCTTTCCCGAGGGTATTAGCACGTAAGTGAATATATATATATAGATATAAATATACTGTTTTATATATATATATATTGGAGAAATCTTGTGAGAAAAATATGCATCCCCCGGCGGGACTCGAACCTGTATACCCTAGGGGAAACCGTCATTATAGCTGATGTGCCTTAGACCCACGTGGGATCTCTTAAACAAACGAAGCCCGAATAGTCCTTTTGAACACATATCTTTCCCGATTCTCGAAATATTCATATCTTCTATGTTTCGTATCCTAACGTAAAAAAAAGACTTTTTTTTAGGAAATGGATTAAATACAACAGAAGGGTTTGGGTTGTTGAAACCGTTATGATATTATTATAAGACACTAAGCTAAAAAACAAAACAAAAAACCCAGTGTTCGCATTGTTGAAGCCGTTATTATAGCATCATAAACCCCGAATATAAAGAATGGTTCGTATTGTTTAAGCCAATATCATATTGTCATCAAACACCAAGCGAATGAATGATCCGGGTTATTGAAGCCATTATTATAACATCATAAACCCCCAAAAGCTAAAATCGTATTCCATTTGGGAAATTGGATTTAAAATCTATTTTATAATTAACAAATCCATTCAGCCAGGTAAAAAAATGACTCTTGTACACCTGCTTCTCTAAACATTACAATCTTAACCTCTTCTAATCAAAAGTCAATCAATAATTATTCTCATAATTCTCATTTTCTACTACCTCCTCCTCTCTCATTCATATCACATAATATATTCATCATTAGCAGTTTAATAATAACTTTGAAATTTAAGCCGCTCTCGGGCCTTTTGTTGCGTGAATTCTAACATAAATTAAAATGAAGGTGACAAAGGAAAGGGTAAAAAAAGGAAAGAAGACGAGAAGAATATATATACAGTGTAACCCGGATATAAGAGAGTTGTCGGGACCAGAGAAGAAGTCTCTTATATCCGGGTTTCTCTTATATCCGGGTTTGGTCTATTTTATTTAGGTAAGTATGGGAACACTTTGGGACCAGAGAAAATCTCTCTTCTATCCGGGTTTCTCTTATATCCGGGTCTCTTATATCCGGGTCTCTTATATCCGGGTTACACTGTATATAAGATAATCCTAAGGAACCAGGCAAACGTTACTTAATTGTCTTTTTACTCGTTTTGGAGGTTTTTTTTATTTGGACTCGGAACTTGTTTTCGCCTTGGTTTAATGTTCTTGGTTCTTTCTTCTTTTATTCCTCATTTTTCCTCGGGTACAGATTTGTTCTACTGCAAGTCAAACTATCCAAGGTTTTTCCAAGCGGAGTACCACCATTTTTATATATATATATATATATATATATATATATATATACAAAATTATTTATTTGGGGTATTAAAACAAAAACATGTTTAAAATCGCTAAACAATTGCAATCGTGTTTCAACGCATATCAATGCGTCTCTTCGGGTGCTTGTTGATTACTGGCAAGTGAATGATTAATTTAATTTCAGAAGGAAAATACGTGCTTTTTTTCGAGAGAAAAAAGGCTTGAGAGCTTTACCGTGATTAACCAATCGAATATGACCTATGTTAAATTCAAACAACATTTACCTGTCTGACTGTCGAAGAAAATATGTGTCCTTGGACACTTAGTCCGGTAAATGTTGTTAATGCCGTTTATTATAAACAGAGCATTTACTTAAATATTTGTATCTATAAAAATAACGTATAAATTATACAAATATATATATATATATATATATATATATATATATATATATATATATATAAATTATATCAAAATAATTGTGGATTTTAGTCTATTTCATAATATATATATATATATATATATATATATATATATATATATATAACGAGAAGAGGAGGAGAAAGATCCTAAAAAAGAAAAGATATAAAAAGAAAAAAGATGAAAAAGAAAGGTATCTGGAATTGATTATTTCGTAGTAAAGAGGAAAAATGTAAATTGCGAGAAGATACTTTGGTGTAGAGGCGTCCAATTTTCGAACAAAAAGAAAGAAAAGATGCAATTGCACTTTTTTTAAGAAGATACAACAATAAAAGAATTTACCAAGCAAGAAAAAAATGCTTCTTAATAAAAATTAAAAATAAAAAGAATATCCAGTTTAAGTTGGTTTCTTTTTAATACAGAGGATTTGTTTTTTTTAATTCTTCAGGAGGAAATGAAAAGAATGAAAAAGAAAGAAAGAAAGAGATACTGAGAGAAATGCAAAGGTTAAAGAAAGAAATGGAAGTGGCGGAAGAAAAAGAGAAAGAAAATACTAGATTTAAGATGGCCAAAGCCAGAGGACGACGACATGAAAAAGGTTGGGTAAATTTGCTTCGGTAATAAGAAGGAAACAGATGTAAATTTTTTATGTGGAAAGTTAAAACGATATGCAAACGTCCTTCATTAAAATAGAAGGAGAAAAATCCGATGTTTGTAACTGAAGAAGATACAAAGAATAGATTTACGACAAAAAAAAAAAAAATGGCGGCAAAAGAAAAGAGACCGGAATATTAGGTCTAGCTTTTTTCAGTGGGTCAAAATGAAAAAAAAGGCGTGGAGAGAAATAAATAGAGAAGAACGAGGAAGAGAAAAAAAAGAAATTTTGAAAAAAAATTAATGAAACACTGAAAGGAGGATATAAGAAAAGGGAAAGCTAAATTATAAAATGAAAAGAAAGAAAGAAAGAAAGAAAGAAAGAAAGAAAGAAAGAAAGAAAAGCAGATAAAAGTAAAGGAAAACTTTATTTTCAAATTAGAGACTAAAAAGTGAAGAAAAAGATATTAAAAGAAGAAATAAATATAACGAAAGAATGAAAGAAAAATAAAAAAAAATAACAGGAACAAAAGGTAACAGTATGAAAGAAAGAAAGAAAAAGAAAAGCGCAGAAAAACTAAAAGAGTAGCATGAAAAGGAAAAGAAAGAAAGAAAGAAAAAGAGAAAGAAAGACAAGAGAAAGAAAGACAAAGAAAGAAAATGTAAATCGTAGTAAAATTAAAAAAAGAGTAGCATGAAAAATAAAAAAGAAAAGAAAAGAAAGAAAGAAAGGAAGAAAGAAAGAAAGAAAGAAAGAAAGAAAAAGAGAAAGAAAGATAAGAGAAAGAAAGACAAAGAAAGAAAATGTAAATCATAGTAAAATTAAAAGAAAGAGTAGCATGAAAAGTAAAAGAAAGAAAGAAAGAAAGGAAGAAAGAAAGAAAGAAAGAAAGAAAGAAAAAGAGAAAGAAATAAGAGAAAGAAAGACAAAAAAAGAAAATGTAAATCGTAGTAAAATTAAAAGAAAGATAGCATGAAAAATAAAAAAAAAAAGAAAGAAAAGAAAGAAAGAAAGAAAGAAAGAAAAGAAAGAAAGAGAAAAAAGACAAAAGAAAGAAAATGTAAATCATAGAAAATTAAAAGAAAAGTATCATGAAAAGTAAAAAAAAAAAAGAAATAAATAAAAAGAAAAGAAAAAAAGAAAGAAAGAAAGAAAGAAAAAGAGAAAGAAAGACAAGAGAAAGAAAGACAAAGAAAGAAAATGTAAATCATAGTAAAATTAAAAGAAAGAGTAGCATGAAAAGTAAAAGAAAGAAAGAAATAAAGGAAGAAAGAAAGAAAGAAAGAAAGAAAAAGAGAAAGAAAGATAAGAGAAAGAAAGACAAAGAAAGAAAATGTAAATCATAGTAAAATTAAAAGAAAGAGTAGCATGAAAAGTAAAAGAAAGAAAGAAATAAAGAAAGAAAGAAAGAAAGAAAGAGAAAGAAAAGACAAAGAAAGAAAGACAAAGAAAGAAAATGTAAATCATAGTAAAATTAAAAGAAAGAGTAGCATGAAAAGTAAAAGAAAGAAAGAAAGGAAGGAAGAAAGAAAGAAAGAAAGAAAGAAAGAAAGAAAAAGAGAAAGAAAGATAAGAGAAAGAAAGACAAAGAAAAATGTAAATCATAGTAAAATTAAAAGAAAGAGTAGCATGAAAAGTAAAAGAAAAAATAAAAGAAAGAAAGGAAGAAAAGAAAAAAGAAAGAAAGAAAGAAAAGAGAAAGAAAGACAAGAGAAAGAAAGACAAAAGAAAGAAAATGTAAATCATAGTAAAATTAAAAAAGAAACAGTAGCATGAAAAAGTAAAAAGAAAGAAAGGAAGAAAGAAAGAAAAAGAAAGAAAAAAGAAAGAAAGAAAAGAAAGAAAAAAGAAAAGAAAGAAAGAAAAGAGAAAGAAAGAAAGAAAGAAAAAGAAAGAAAGAAAAAGAAAGAAAATGTAAAAGAAAGTAAAATTAAAAAGAAAAAGACAAAGAAAAAAGAAAAAAAGAAAAAAAATAAAGAAATAAAGGAAAAATAAAAGAAAGAAAGAAAGAAAGAAATGAAAAGAAAGAAAGAAAGAGAAAGAAAGACAAAAAAAAGAAAAGTAAAGAGAAAGAAAATTAAAAAAAAAGAAAATGAAAAATAAAAGAAAAAAGAAAAAAGGAAGAAAGAAAGAAAGAAAAAAGAAAGAAAGGAAGAAAAGAAAGAAAAGAAAGAAAGAAAAAAAGAAAGAAAGACAAGAGAAAGAAAGACAAAAAGAAAAAAATGTAAATCGCAGAAAAATTAAAAAAAGAAAAAGCATGAAAAAAAAAAAAAAGAAATAAAAAAATAAAGGAAGAAAAAAGAAAAGAAAAGAAAGAAAGAAAAGAAAGGAGAAAGAAAGACAAGAAAAAGAAAAGACAAAGAAAAAAAATGTAAATCGTAGTAAAATTAAAAGAAAGAGTAGCATGAAAATTAAAAAAAGAAAGAAATAAAGGAAAAAGAAAAGAAAGAAAGAAAGAAAGAAAGAAAAGAAAAGAGAACGAAAGACAAAAGAAAGAAAATGTAAAGAAGTAAAAAAAAAGAAAAGAAAAAAATGAAAAGTAAAGAAAAAAAGAAAGAAAAAAGGAAGAAAGAAAGAAAGAAAGAAAGAAAGAAAAAGAGAAAGAAAGACAAGAGAAAGAAAGACAAAGAAAGAAAATGTAAATCGTAGTAAAATTAAAAGAAAGAGTAGCATGAAAAGTAAAAGAAAGAAAGAAAGAAAGGAAGAAAGAAAGAAAGAAA